TATTAGAGAATGTGTAGAATTACTTATCATCATTGGAATATTTTGTTTTTTATTCTAGGTTCTTGCTAATGTAACACTAATGGATAAAAATATACTCGAAGTAGGTTGTGGTAGAGGTGCTGGTGCTGCTTGGTGTGTTCGTGCATATGCTCCTCGCTCTTATGTTGGAATAGATCCTTCTCGAGATGTTATTAACCTATGTGAACAAGTTTATTCAACAATTCCTCGACTCTCATTTATGACAGCTGATCCAAAAACTCATTTACCATTTCAAAATGAGTCTATGGATGTTGTTATTTCGATTGAAACAACAAATATTTTAGATGAAATAGTAGCAGTGAAGGAATCCATCAATGAAGTTACTCGTGTGCTTACTCCTAATGGATACTTTCTCTGGTGTGGTTTGTGTAATGTAGATGGATCAAGTGTATTGATTGATTATTTAACAGCAAATAATGCATTTATTATTGAAGAGAAGATAAATATTACCACAAATGTACTTCATGCACTTGACATTCAAAGTAACTCACGTGCTGATTTTATTGACCGGTATATTCAAGCTGCAGATCGAGAATATTGTCGCCTATTGGCTGGATTACCTGGTACTCAACTTTATGATAATATGCAACAGGGACGTGCAGAATATTGGCGAGTTGTATTCCGAAAGACGATAATAACCAATACACCTCTTATTTAACAATAACATTTACTCTTTTTTTTTAACTAACCCGAATATTTTTATTTACTAGATAGCGTTATTTTACTCTAACTTCTTCCTGCACCTTACTTTTTTGATAACAAATAAACAAAGTAGTTAGTATAGAACATTTTGTGAGAATGTAGATGTGAGATCAATATATAGACCTCAAACCGTCATAGATCAAATGAATATTTTGGTTTAGATTACGATTCGCTCTAAAAAGAATGAACTAATGTTAGAAAAAACAAAAAATTATTCATCGACATAGTCAGATAAAAATGTCGATTGAGCTATCTTAAGTAATATGGATTTCCGAAGCAGACTGTCAAAAGACAACTATTATTTATTTAGACTAAAATAATGTCTGTATTCTTGCATTTCATCCGGTTTTTGTTCGAAGGCTACAGAAGTTTGATTGACAAATAGAATAAGAAAACAGTCTCCTCTCTTAATAAAAGAACTGTGGATCTTTCTTCAATCTTAGTGTTGGGAGATCTTCTGATAGTGCGGGTGTAGATAAAGAACAGATGAATCCACACCACACACCCTCTCATACTAATTTTCTAACTGAATATTATTCGATTAAAATCAATTTTTAAAACTCTATAGTGCTCTACAGTTAAGTAAGTGCGATTCTTATGTTATTCATTGATTTTACTGCTATAAAAAAAACAACAGTTGCTTACTTTAAAACGAATAGTTCAATAAAACTCACTATCTTTTAGCATTCGAATGAAGCTGTCTAATCCAGTCTATCAAAAATCACGCTTATTCTTTTACACAATTCATTCTTGATAATACAATGTAAGCTAGAAATCTGTTACAAAGTCTAAGTCCATAGAGATTGCACGAACATATTTTCTTTTCGAAATCAATGATCGAACTATTGCCGTTAAACGATAAATTTCAAATTCCATCAATAGCCCATTGCGCTCAATCAATATCATTTTTTAATTCTTGATACAAATGGTGAAGATATTGAAATTAAAACAACATTTACTAATTCAATTGAGTTGATAATAACGCGTAATCTAAATGTAATATTTCCAAAAATATTATTAAAAAATATTATTATTTAATTTACACGTTTTAATTTAACAGAATCTCCTTTCAATTTTTCAATACATTTTGAGATACATTCATCTAAGAAAATTCTTTTATATTTATTAATTTATAAATTTGATACACCACCTAAACTAACGAATATATTAAATGATACAAATGGTTGATCTTTATTTTGTTCTTTCAATAGAAACGATGATATTTATTCTTATTTAATTGATGATTATCAAACATTCAATGATCAATCAACTATTTTTGATATTCGTCAGTTAAGTATCATAGAAACAGAAAAATTTTGTTCAAACAAAATATTGAACCTATCGATAATTGATGTATATCAAAAATTTTCATTAAATTACGAAATACAAACTTATTTATTGACTTGTTATGATCTTAATTCGAATTCTCAATGGCAGTCGAATGAATCGTTAGTAAGGAATTTTGTTATTGTAAGTTTCTCTAAATTTTATTTAGGTTAGACGATTCACAAATCATTATCATATACAATATTTTCCAGTGGTATTCTCTTTTTACTATCTTCAATGAATTATTCGATCGAGATTGACCATGCATCGTTTCTTACAATCTTGAGGATGTGGATGTAAGCTTTTATTAAATGTGTACGATACTCTCAGATGTTCACTAGATCACCGACACCCACCCTCAAGATGGTGAATGCTAAAAGAATTGAAAAATAACTTTATATTTATAGAACAAAAATCTCAGTTTATTAGACTTCAACAACATATATCAAATGATTATCACTTTCACCATAAATGTTTTCAATTTTATCTCAATTTAGTTGCATATATTTCTATGTTATTTCACAATCTTAATAGATTATAGAACATTTAAATAATCCCCAGTTTTCTATTGCATCTAAAAGAAGGGTGTGGGAGTGGGTGTAGGTGTGGGTATGGGTGTGGATAGCAGTGGCGGCGGAGCGTGGAGACTCAAGAGGCTTAAGCCTCACTTATTTTCGGATTGAATATTATCTTTTATTATTAGAATTTGTTATGCTCGGCATCTAACATAACTAGATATATATTCTGACATATATACCTTTTAATACGGTTCACCTATTTTGTATATGTTTTTCTTTTCTCTATTCTTTTATCGCACAGATATCACATACAGCTTATATATATCATGTATGTTTTTCGTTTCTTTTACTTGGATATTTCCCTTGTCTATATGGTACTCAGGTATTTTTCCTCTTTTCTTACATTTTTTCTTGTCCGCGTGGTTAATTTTTCCTCATTTCGTCTATATGTTTTATTCCCAGAACGTTTGGTTTTTTCAAGCGCATATACACATACACATATATATATTATTACGGTAATAAAGAAGTAGCTCGATAGTGATCGAATTGATTTATATCCTCTTCACAGTGTATTTAATGGCTGGAAAACGTCCAAACATTCATCCATTTTTCTTTTTGACACATATACAAAGAAAAGTCTCTGTTCAAATTTCGCATCGAAGAACAAAGAGAGAAAGTTATTTTTTGGTACGTTCTAATTTGTTTTATTTTCACGATGACCGTTGTAGTTTTTATTGAGGTCAAATAAAAAGAAGACTTATATTTTGCTTCATGTTTTAATAAAAGTTCCCAGAAGAAAACATATTGTGAGCCTCACTTAGGTTAATGACGCTCCGCCGCCCCTGGTGGATAGGTGTTCTTCTTATTCTTACTAAGACACCCACACCCACCCTATCAACTCAATTTATGAATAATTCCCTTTTCTGAAAGAAAGGGTTATAAGCTCGTTAAACAGGGTCGTTAAAATGCTTAAAGTGTGTCCGTTTGTCAGTTTGTCCAGACCAATCAGATTGCAGCAATTTATAAATCAATGAAAACATATCAATGGTCACCAGAAAACGATTGACCAAAGGTAATCGGGTTCGGGGAATCCGAGGTCAGATTTTTACATTTGTTTTATTCCTCATTTTTTTACACAAAGAACCACTTTTTTACAAAAAATGTTTTTTTATAAAGTTTGACCGAAGGGTTTTCTAGGTCGAAGAACTCGAATCTGCCGTTATATTTTCAAAATATTTCTGAGAAACATTTTTTTTTGAACAAATGATCACCTTTTTTTGTTGGTCGAAGAGTAATTGAGATCGAGGAACTCAAATCTGATGTTAGTTTTTGCAAACTGTACAAGTAAAAAGTTCAATAGTATTGTAGAACACGTTTTGTACAAGAAAGAGATGAGCGAGTCTCTGGACGAGCGTTACTTGTTAATAATAATCAAAGAAAATTTTCTTTCAGAAAAGGGTCAGCGAATCCATTGGATGAGCGCTATCTTGTTGTTTATCAACACAACTCTGCATTGTTCTTTATTGTTTGTTTGAAAAAACAACATAATTTTGTACGTGTATCTTCAAATTACAAAAAGTGTAATTAAAAGTCAATAAATAAAATGTCATATTTTTTAGAAGTATAGTCAAGTAAGAATATAACAAGAAGAAAATAATCAGACACATAAATTTGATTAATTGAAAAACAAGTTATTTTCCTAATTTTATTTATATTATCATAGAATTAAACTCCAATGGTTCAATATTTATTATATAAAATGATTCATTCATTCATAGAAAACTATTATTTTTACTTTAAGTACTATAGTATTATCTAGGTACAAGGCTTAGATTTTATATATATATATATGGAAATAGAAGTTGGTTTTTTATTATGAAAAATACTCATAATCGCACTACAATAAACAGAATGTTTTCTTTTATAAATAGCAGTTAAGCATATAATTTGGAAAACCATTGAAGCATAATGTAAAAAAAAGGAAAAATATGTTTCATTAATTACTTTGATTTATTTTGAACCTAGAAGTAAAAAAATCGTTCATGCGTTTTTCCTTATAATAGTGTAATTAGAAAAGGAACATGTTTCATGTAGACATACTTATCCATTAATTAAGTACATGTATATATATAATCATACACAACAGTATCTTATAGAAGTCTGAAGAATTACTGATTATAAGAATAGATTCAATTAAGATTTAGGTTAGTCTGATCTTTTTACAATGTTCACTTGATTCATTCGAGGAAATGAAAGTCTTTAATTATAAAATAAAAATAGTATCCACATGGATTAGAATTATGAAGTATTCATCAGTCACGATACGGCTAGGAACATGCTGTTTTTTTCTTTTCTACATTTCTTAAATATAAAACATAAATATTTTGAAAATTTATTTAATTAATAAGAATAAAATTATCGATGATGTTTTCGTTTACAAATATATCTCAAACGATGTAAGAATCGTTGTTTAAATTTTAAACGATTTTCAGTTTTTCGTACATATTCTCGAGTCTTTTTAATTGAATCTTTCAATGTATTTATATCATAATTAAGTCGATCACGTTCAGTACTTAAATTATCAATTTTCTTTTTTCCATATGCAACAATACAACTTGATATATCAATATATAAAATATCTTTTAACCAACAACGTTTGCGACATGTTGGACAAACTAGAAAAGAACAATAGAATTGACAAAAACAAAAATATTCTGCATAATTTTTTCTTTTACCTTTATTTGTTGTAAACCATTGATGAATACATGTTGCACAAAACATATGTCCGCATTTCAGAGCTACAAGTTGTTGTTGATCAACACCAAAACTTTCATAACAAATAAGACATGAAAATAAATCTTTTGGTATGTAAGTATGTAATTTTGTTGATGATGATATATTTGTTGTTAATGTTAAATTATCATCAATCTTCGTTGTTGGTAATGAAATCTCGTTGTTATTCATAAGAAAAGAGTAGATTTTATTTTGTTATTCTTTTGCCGCGTAGTTAAGAAGAAAAAAAAATATACTAATCAATATTTTTAGTGTTACAAAAAAATTTTCTTATAACAATATAGATAGAGCACATCTGGTCGACATGATTAATTGTGCTAATTTACTAACATGAGATCGAATATCAAAATGATCAAACTTCTATTTTTCTAAAGAGAAATAGATCATTTCATGAGATAATAATTCAACGATTTTCCGTTGAAAATAAGATAAGATTGAATGATTCGAGACTTATAGAGCTAGCTTAACTTATAATAATCGAATAGAGAGATATTTCATATTCGATTATGAGAGTTAATCTTATAATTTACGATTTATTAGTGTATACTATAGTTTAAAGGAACAACTGCTTGAAAAAAGGATACCTTTGTAATTCTTGCAAACAAATATATATATATATAAGAAAAATATTGACATATCTTATATCATTATTGGTCCACTGTTTTATACTCCAACTGGTTTGATTATGTAATTCTACAGTTAGTTAAAACGATATTTATTCAAAAATCTTCTTTTCTAATTAAATCATTTATTATCAGTTATCAACGATAATTTCGAGGATATTGGCGTAAATGTCACTTAGATCTTTTTTGTGTATGATACATGCTGTAATGGTTACAAATGTATAAAGAATATCTAAGATGTTTACATAGTATACATATATATATGCACAAACAAATAATTATGAATAAAAAGCGTAGAATTATTACTAATATCACTTAGACATGTAAAACTTATTAAATAATGAACGCAATAGTTTTTGATGAAAATTTCGCTTGAGTAAATATGTATAGATAAATACATAAAATAGAATATATTAAGAGAAGTCTCTGTTCACCTTGTCATTTTCGATTTGTGTCTAGTTCTCTTGTTCTTTTCCCTTGTGCTTTTCTTTCATCATAACTGTCCTTCAATAGATCCAGCAACAAAAAAAAAGATTTTATCTGTAACAAGAAAGAAAGACAGAGAGAGAGAGAGCGAGAAAGAAAAAACAAATGTAATGATTAATATCGTTCATTGTCGCAAGAAATGACGAAACATTCATTCATTTGTAATTCTATCTTTGTGCTTTTTGTTTTGTTTTGTATTGGGAATTAAAAGTTAAAAGAAAATCTTAGATAGAAGTTTTGTCTTGTTTATTAATTAAAGCCGTATTAAGATATATAGTTTCAATCAAAGATTAATTTAGACATGTCAAGCATTCTTTTAATAATTATATATCTTTTCCTATATTGAGTGTCTTTTTATTAAGACTATTTTAACTATTGCATGAGCTATGTTTGTACTTAGACTTCTTTTGTCATTGACCCGTTTGTTTACGTTTTCTCTCGACTTTTTTTGTTCTAATTGATGTGAGTCTGAATATCATTATCACATATACACACACACACACA